GTCTTCCCTCAGTAGTGGAAATAATTAGCCTAAATTGAGCAAGACCTGAAAGGATCAAACTGTTTCCACATAACTTAACTGTATCCAGAACAGAGCTCAGTTACAGGAATACAAAATTATCCAGCAGCTGACAGGCTAAAATCCACAATATATGACATTAAATAAAAGTTTTCCAGATATACAAAGAAGCAGGACAACATAACCTATAAAGAAGAGAATAAGCAATCAATTAAAACCAAACCAGAACTGACACAAATGTTAGAACAGCAGACACAGACATTAAAATAGTTATTTAACTTGTTTTCCATTAGTTCAAAAGTCAGTAGAGGCATGGCATATGAAGAAAAAGACCCAGATTGAATTTCTAGAGATGAGAACTATAGTATCTGAAAGGAAAAATACACTGGATGCAATCGACAGCAGAATTCATATGACAGAATAAAAGATAAGTGAATTTGAGGACATAATAGAAACTATCCTAAATGAAATATAGAGAGAAAAATGAATTTTAAAAATGAAAAGAAGAACAGTGAGCTGTGAAATAAATTCAAGAAGTCTAATATACTTCTCAGTGAGGACCACAAAGGATTAGAGACTGAAAAACATATTTGAAGAAATAATGGCTCCAAAATTTTCAAACTTGGTGAAAACTATAAACCAACAGATCCAAGTGATATCACAAGAAACATGAAGAAAACCACACCAACACACATCAAAATCAAATTGCTCAAAACCAGTTATAAAGAGAAAATCTTAAAAACAGTCAGAGAAAAAAATACACATTGCATGCAAAGGAATAAAAGATAATAATTACAGCTGATTTCTCATCAGAATAATGCAAGCGAGAAGACAGTGGGTCAACATCTTTAAAGTACAGTCATGCACCACAAAATGATGTTTTGGTCAACAATGGACTGCATATATGATGGTAGTCCCATAAGACTAGTACCATAGAGCCTAGGTGTACAGTAGGCTATACCATCTAGGTTTGTGTAAGGACACTCTATGATGTTTGCAAAACTCCAAAATAGCCTAACAATACATTTCTCAGAATGTATCTCTTTCATTAAGCGATGCATGACTGGTACCAAAAGGAAAAAACTGTTAACCTAGAATTCTGTATCCACAAAAATATCTTTCAAAGATCAGGATGAAATAAAAATTTTCCGGCATACCAAAGCTGAAAGAATTCATTACCAGCAGGTCAATACTCTGAAAAATGTTAAAGAAGATCTGCAGGGAGAGGAAAATGATACCAGTTGGAAAAGAATCTACAGAAAAGAATTAAGAGCATAAGAAACAGTAACTATATGAAAAATTCATGAGATTTTTAAATTATTCTTGGTGGGGGGGTTAAAACATGTGTGTAAGTAAAATATGTGATAACAATGCCATACAGGGTAAGAGGAGAGAAATGGAAACGTACTGTGTAATGTTCTTATACCATCAGTGAATTGGTATAATATCACTTGAAGGTAAAATGCAATGTTAAAAATATATGGTATAAATTCTAAAGCAACCACTAAAATAATAACACAAAGAACTATAGCTAATAAGCCAACAAGGAGATAAAATGGAATTTAAAAAATAAGGCATGAAAAGAGGAGGAAAAAACCAAAGAACATAGACAAGAAAAAGCAAGCTAATAGATTTAACCCTAACCGTATCAATAATTATAATAAATGAAAATTATCTAAATATAGTAATTAGAAGGCATAGATTGTCTAATTGGATTTTAAAAAATCAATACCAACTGTATGCTTCCTACATGAAATGTACTTTAAATATAAAAACAGAAATAGGTCAAAAGTGAAAGGACAGAACAAGATATATCATTAGTTACTAGGAAGTGCAAATTCAAAACACAGAGATACCACCATAAACTTATTTAAATGGCTAAAATTAAAATGATTGACAATATCAAGTATTTGTGAGGGTGTGAAGAATATTAATGGGAATATAAAATGATACAACCACTTTGGAAAACATTTTGGCAGTTTCCTTAAAAGGAAAATATACATCTACCTATGATGCAGCCATTCTAGTCTTAGGTATTTACCTGAGAGAAAAGAAAGCATCTATCTATACAAAGATTTCTGTATGATTATTCATAGCAGCTTTTACTGTGATAGTCAAAAACTGGAAATCTCCTGTCCACCAACAGGAGAATAGATAAACACACTGTGGTCTATCCACACAATGGAACACTACTCAGCAGTGAAAAGGAATGAACTAGCAACACATGCAACAACGTGGATGATTCTCAAAATAATTGTACTGAATTAAATTATACTAAATGAAAGAAGCTAGACAAAAGAGTGCATACTTTCATTCCATTCGTGTAAAATTCTAGACAATTCCAATTAGACTATAGTGTTAGCAGATCAGTGGGTGCCTGGGGGGGGGAAGATGGGAAGAGAAGGGAAGGAGAGATTACAAAGGAGCAGGGGGAACATTTTGGGTTGATGGATATGTCTACTATCTTGATTGTGGTGATGGCAGGTAGGTACTATTGTTATCTCTGTTTTAAGAATACCTAAACGAAGGCTCAGTGCCAGAATTCATATGCAGGACATTTGGCTCCAGCAAATTCTCAACTACTACAAAGCAAATTCAGTTCACCTTTATTTATATGTAGATATCATGTGTCCTTCATTTCTTGAGTCTCTTATCAACGTTAGTTTTTAACATTTAATTTGCCATTTACAAGTCTGCCAGCCATCAGACTACAGGGAGGGAAATGAAGATGGAGAGAAAGGAGCAGGTTTTGAGCACTTGGTGTGTGCCAGGCACATTACATATGCTAACACACCTCATTCAAGCAAAGCATCCTAAGTACTGTGCAGTCATGAGTACAATTAGTCATCTCCAGTCAACTAGTGAATTACAATAAGAACGCCTTGCCAATGTCACACCAGGACCTCAGAATTTTTACTCTGGCTGATTTCTTGTCATGATGCTGACCCTACTCTTCCTCACTTGTGTTGGTTGACAATGTGCCAAGTGTTAGTAGGTGCTTTGGGGACATGAGAAATGAGCTCTCCCTGTCTCTGGGGGTGTCCAATGACACCTCCTCTCTGCTATTGCACAGCCATGAAACAAAATCGGGAAGGAGAATTCAGTCCTTTATACAGAAGAGGTTTTCCTTCAGTCCTTGTCTGGTCTTGGGCACAGGGTGTGGCTCTCAGACTGAGTCCTGAGCGGAGGCTGTCCTCTAGCTTAGCACACCAGGTGTGTGCCAGGAAGAGTTGACTCTATGTTGTTTTCTTTCCACAGGTTTAACTTCTGTAGCGAAGGAACCGTGAAGGAAGATGTTCTGCTCACTCTCACCACCTGTTAGGAGCTGCTGACATGTGACCTTTGAATCTTATTGCTAATAAAATCTACTGGTGAAGCAATACATTCCTTTCTTTGTCATCATGTCCATTATTTCCAATGAAACTTTTGGATAAGGTGATTAAAATCCAAACTTTGGAGTTGGTCTGAAGAGCCACAAATGACTGTTGAATTTTGCTACACATTATGTGGCATGTGAGCTTGGGAATACTGTTTACCTGATACTGGCATCATGTCCATTACTGCTATTACTGATGTCATTCTGATCACTTAAGGCAGACTTCCAGGTCCCAAATGACCCCTTCTTGGTGGGCTCATGTGGCAAGTACTCCCCTTTGCTGCTTTTTCCATCGTCCTTAAGTTCTATGTCTGCTCCTCCTCAGACATCTCAGGAGAGATGACAGATAAGATGACAGGGACTGGCATATCGGATGCTTCCTAACTGGTCTCCCTTCTCCCAGTGGGGCCCCCCACAAGCCTGTCTCCTCTCTGCAACGTCTTTGCTCTTTCAAGCACACATCAAAGATCCTCCCAATGGTTTCCAGGATAGAATCCACATTCCTTAGTGAGCCTTGTGAGGCCCCTCTTGGTCTGGTTTTCACCTAGGACTCCAGCATCGTCTCTCACCACATTCCTTCTGGAGCTCTACATTCTGACACTGTCCCTCAAAAGGGCCTCAGTCTTGGATGCTGCTGGACCTTTATGCAATTCTTTCTCTCCCCAGGATGTTCCTCCCCGTCTTCCTGTCTGTTTAACTCCTACTGGTTCTTAATCTGTGTGTAGACATCACTTCTTCCAGGAAGGCTTTCTTCACTCCCATTACCCACATCCTCTAAGACTGGATTAGAGACTACCTCACTACATTCCCACTGCACTCAGGACTTCCTCCAGCTCACCACTTCTCTCTCCATGTTATAGTTGCTTGTTTACTTGCCTGTATATCCCACTTGTAGACTCCTTAAGGGGCTTACATGTTGTATGTGCCTGGCGTGTAGTAGGAGAACAAATAAATATTTTTTGAGAGACAATATGGAAAAATGAATGACTTCACTAGAGTCGAATATTTAGAACTAGGCCATGTCCAAACAAAAAATATCCTAAGAGAGAAAGGTACGACTGTGCTAGGTCTTAAAAGATGGGTAGGATTTGCCAAGAGGACATGGTGGGAAGGACACTCCAGAGAGGGAACAGCATAAGCAAAGGCACAGAGGTATGAAAACATGAGAAAGTGAAAACATTTTTCATTCTATGTTTCACCAAAGTATATGCAAGTTGGTCAACACATGAAGACTTGGCTGAGGACAATTAATCTGTATTAATTATGATGCTTTCATGTGCATGAAGCAAAAGCTCTAACTCAAACTGACTTAAACAACAAAGAAGTGTTTTGACTCACACAATTGGAAAGTCCATAGGTGGGGGAGGCTTCAGGTTTTGTTGATCCAGCAACTCAACGACCTCTTCAAGAGCCACTTTCTTTCTGTCCCCATGCTTTGTTGTCTATGATGGTGGTTTTATACCAAAGTTGGCTCCCCTCCCAGTTGAAGGAGAGCCATCTACCACAATTGGGGATATAGACCTCCTCTCTCACATCCAGTAAGAGAGAGAAAGCACATTTCCCTCCCAATCTTTCCAAACAAAACTCCTGAGATTCATGCCGATTGGCCTGTGGCCTGGGAAGTGGAAAGCGCTGATTGGCTTAAGCCGGTTAGGGCACATTCCTGGAGAAAGGATGAGGCCAGCATCTGCAACGTACATGGACCACGCAGAGGAGGAGTGAATTTCTGAATGAAAGGAGTTGTCAAGGATTCCTGGGGCTTAGGCCAGAGCGACCGGAAGGGTGGAGATACCATTGACTGAAATGCGGAATGCTTGGGAGAGACAGGTTTGAGGAGGAAGGCCAGTTTTCTCATGTCAAATTTGAGATGTTCATCAGACACCCAACTAGCAATGTCATGTAGGCAGTTGGATATATGAGCATGGAGTTGAGGTTAGAAGTCTGGGTTAGACAAGTAAACTTTGGCATCTTGAGTGTATAGATGGCATTTTGTGTGTGTGTGTGAGGAAGATCAGCCCTGAGCTAACATCTGATGCCATTCCTCCTATTTTTGCTGAGGAAGATTGGCTCTGGGCTAACATCCGTGCCCATCTTCCTCCACTTTATATGGGACGCCACCACAGCCTGGCTTGACAAGCGATGCGTTGTTGCGCGCCTGGGATCCGACTGGTGAATCCTGGACCGCTGAAGCAGAGCGTGCGCACCGGCCTGGTCCCAAGAGTGCATTTTTTTAAAGCCCTGCATCTCTCTATAAAGAAATTAACACATTGCTTAACCCATATTGAGTGCTTAATAAATGTTTACAATTATAATTACTATGACTAGCTCATGAAACTTTCCCATAGCATACTAATAATGATGAATAATGAATAATAAAAGAAATTAATATAGGATTATCTGCAAATTTACTCAAGTAATAAGATGGAACAAAGGGGTTTAAAAGAATATGATTTAAAAAATACATCTGTTAAAAACTGTTTTATTAAGAAGGATATCCATTTTCACTGTAACGAGGCAGTTTGCTAGTTGCTTTAATTGTTTTAAATGAATTATTTGCTCAGATTATTTACCTATTTCTGAACTCAGTCAATTTTTAGGAAATATTCTTATTTCCATAGCCCTAAGTCAAATTTTTTCTTCCCTTAAGGCAGGAGCTCCTTGTCAGTTTGAAAGGATGGGCCAGTCCATATATAAATGACCCACTTTCAGCACGTGATTTTTAGCCTGTTTCTTGCTGGAATATCTTTCTTTGTTTCAAGGTTGGATGTTAAGAGTCAACTGCCTTAGACTCTGTGCTTCAGCCCGCTCCTCTGAGAGGGACTCTCAGAAGGCGACTGACTGCCAGCTCCGTGTTTTTGTTTTTCTAACACGTGCTTTTTGCTTAGAGTGTGCAGCCGCTAGTCTAAGTGCTCTATCCGTATTTACTCATTTGATTCTGACAGTACTCTATAAGCCAGGTACTTTTATTCTCCCCATTTCCAGATGAAGCAGCTAAAACACAGAGAGCTTTTTTAACTTGTCCGAGGTCCTGGGCTATTTACTGATGGACCTAGGTTTTCCCCAGGACATCTTGAAGTGAAATGTTCCAGTTTTGGTTTTAAATCAATCCCTTTGGTACTTACACGGAGTGCAAGTTCTGATCATTTTTTGCTCTAACTGCTGTTCAAGTTGGCCCAGAGTTTCCCAGCACTCTGGAATTCTGAAGGCTGAGGGTTGTTCTGGAAATGCCCAGGTCCCCTACAGAGGGTGCAGACTTTTGGACCTAATTCTCCCCAACTGGCACCAGGGTCTGTGTGGCCTGAGATTTTTACTTCTTAGCCAGCACACATGAACTGGTGGGATCTACCAATGGTCATCAAGGACTTTGGGAAGTCTGGGCTACACTCAGAAGCCTAGTTCATTTTCCACACACAGGGCATCTCTGATAAAAGAAAAAGAAAGAAGTCGATAGTTGACTGATGATAAGGCAAAGTCCTGAACCCCACTGCCATTACAACAACACTCAGGGAGAAATTCTGCCAGTTCAAGGGATAGTTAGAGACATGGTTCAAGTGAAGGCAGGTGAGTGTCCAGGCTGTGAAAAAGATTTGGAAAATAGCTTTCTCAATTCAAAAACTTCTTTTGAATTAAGAGGCTCTGAGAACACAGCTTGAACCCATCCTTGTCTTCCCCCAGAATTCACAAGACGGTTCTCTTATGCGATGACAAGGTATCTGAATGTTCTGAACTTGAAATTGGGGGAGAAAGGAAGGACAGAACTGACTGGCTGGGGAAAGCAGCCGTTCAGCTCCATCTGGACACATGAACACAGTAGATGATACCTGGTAACCTCTCTCTTTACCTTTCTGACCTTCAAGGAGTTACACATCTTGAAGATAGGAGAGCTGTCTGGTGGAAATGAAGTTATAGTTTCAAAAGAGATCCACAGATTTGCGTGCATATGAATTCTGCCTGAAGTTCCTGAAAATGACCAGGATCTAAGTTTATTCAACATATTTCAGTTGTTATCACTATTTGAAATCCCAGAAATCTTTCCATCTGGTGTGGAATGAATTAATTAGCCTAGCAGGATCTAGAGAAAAAGCAGCTCAGACTCCAGTCCTGCTAGGGGTTTAGTCCAATTAAATCCCCCAGGCCATTTAATCAGGAGCCAGTGCATTAGAGCACAGTGCCTATAGACAGATGTGGGGAGCTCCTCACTGTCTTAGGAAAGAATACACCCTCAACTGATGCTGTGTGCCCAAGAATGGTGACAGTGAGGGCAACGATAGGTGTTCTCACTGAATCTCAGGCCTGGCTGAGCTGGGTTCCTGTATTGGTTAGCTACTGCTGCATAACAAACTGTCAGCAAACTCAGTGGCTTTAAACAGTAAGCATATATCAGAGTACTCTGGGTTAGTTGGGTGCTTCTTCTGGTCTTGGCTGGATTCACTCGTGTGTCTGTGGTCAGAGTGAGTTGAGTCAGCAATGCTGCTAATCTTGGCTGGATCTCTCATACACTTGGGGGTCAGTTGGCTTTGAGCTCATCCAAGCTGCCATCACGTTTAAGGACCAAATCAAGTCACACACATAGCCTGGCCTCAAGGGATGGCGAAATAGAGTCCAGTGGTTGATGAAACGAGCTGCAAAATCACGTGACAAAAGGCGGAGATATAGGGGGTGCAGGAGTGGGAAGAACTGTGGCTACTTTGACAATCCATCTATCACTGTCTCTCACCTGTTTCTCTGTCCCCAGGGAGCCTGGAGCTGGGGCAGGAACAAGTCAGCTGTCAGGAGGGTTTTCCCAGTGATGGGTCAGCCCTGGCTCTATTCTCTGGCCTTCTTGTACTGCCTGATCCTCACGGATCTCATCACAAGTGAGGGCGCCTTTCTGCTTCACGTGCTTTAGACTTTTGTAGAAAACAAAGTGCTCCATGGCAGCTTCTTCTTACATAACAAATGCCTATGACTACAGAGTTGCTTCTTACCATAAACCAGCACAACAGTCCTGATCAGATTTTCTGAGCAGGAAATCCAGTCTCCGCAGTCATCATTCACTCTTGGCAACTCGTGAAGATAATCTCTTCATTATTTCAAGGTGTGATAAACACAAACAATACTTTTAAAGAAATCCCCTGTCTACCAGGCACTAACTGGACTTTTGTACAAATTTAGTGGAGTTGGCTGATTGAGGACTGTTATTTCATTACTTCAGAGCCTCATACCTCTTGCAGTGGCTGCCCAGCTCACAACTTCACCTCCATCTTTGGGTGCACAGGGGTGGGTCCCCTCAGCCAGGCATGCCCAGTAGGACCCACTCCCCATTGCTAATTAATTCAGGGCCAGTTCCTGACCTAATCAGGCCAATCATCTGGTAATTAAGAATTCTGAGCTGAGATGCACAAAGCCAGGAAGTGTCTGCAGCAGAATCAGGTCCAAGGCAGTGGGGATCTGAGGACAACCAAGGTCTCCAGGGTGGTCCCATTTCTTGGTATTCCTTCCCTGCATCTCATGGTTCAGCAATTTCATGGATTACTTGAGATGCCCCAATAGTCTTTCAATAAATCTCTCCTTTTTTTTTTTTTATTTTAGCTACCCAGAATTGGTTTCTGTTGCTTACAACCAAAAGAACATTGTCTAACTCACTTCTAAAAAGTTACCCGTTTAAGTATCTAATGGTCTCTAATTTACTGTTGTTTTGAGGGGTAAGGGTGGGGAAAATAGCCAACATACACATACATACTTTAAATGTACATTCTTTCGTCCCTTAAATTCCACCTGTAGGAATTTTTCCCACAGACACACCATCCATGTGGAAAGCAACAAATATATAAGAATATTCATTAAGGCATTGTTTTTAATAATACAATATTGGAAACAAATTTTCATCAATAGAGGACTGATTAAATAAACTCAAATACCAGAATGCTGTGAAGCTGGTAAAAAGACTGGAGCAGATCTATATGCACTGACAAGGAATGATTTTCAAGACATACAGTTAATTTTTAAAAATCAGGTTGCAAAATGTGTGTAGAATGTGTGAGTTGTCTTTATTTTTAAATAAGTATATGTGTACATAATGCATACAACATCTCTGGAAGGACATGCCAAGAGCTGGTTAAGGAACATTTTTAACTTTGCATTGTATTGGGTATAGGGGCATGTATTATCTATTTACAAACAGGAGTGAAATAAAGTTATTTTAAGGAAAATCCTACCGCTGAATGCCCAGGATCATGGCCTCGAGTGTCTGGAGCCCACACTCTCACCCCACCAGACCCGAGCGGCTGCTGGAGATTACACCCTCCCTTCCTGCTTGGAGGACGTCCACGTCAGCTCTGACCACCTTAGGTGGTCTCAACGAATGAACCCCCAAGGTGGGGAGCTTTCCCTTGGGGTGAGTCCACAGGGGACCTTGGCAGTGAGGTGAGCTGATGGGGAAATAGGCATGGGGGCCTGACCCCTGGGCACGCTGTGACAGGTCATGTGATGATTGTGTCTCCTAAATCTAATCAGATGTTCACATTCTCCCTGCTTCTCTGAAGAAGGACAACTCTCTTTTCCCTCCCAAAACTGTGCCCTCTCACCTTTCCCAGCCCTGAAATTCACTGAGAATAAGGGTAAAAATCCTAAGAACTCCATTCATGTGTACATTCATCCTCTCATTAATTCATAACCACTTCAGCGCCAGTCACCGTTCTAGAAGCTGGGGGTAGAACAGTTACCAAAACAGACGTGGTGTCTGTCCTCATGAAATGCATTCTAGGGGGGAAAAGTGTGACTACAAATAAAAAAACAGATAAAAAAGAGAGAATTATAACTTGTGACAAGTGATTGGAAGGAAACAAACAAGGTGCTAAGGAGCAGGAGTCTGGGGTCAGGTGGGAGGCTGGTGGTGGGAGGGCTTCAGGGCTGGGCAGGGGTGGCCTCACTGAAGAGGTGACATTTAAACAAATTGTTGAATGACAAAAAGAAGCCAGCCCAGTAGAGGTCTAGGGAAGAGAGTTTCAGGCCTTGGGAACGGTAAGTGCAAAGGCCCTGAGGTGGGAAAGGACTTGGCATGTTTGATGGAGGCCAGTGTGTCATGTGAGGAGGGCCAAGTGGGCAGCAGGAGGAGAAGAGGTCTGAGAGGCAGACAGGTCATCTGACATCACTACCAACCATTCACCTACTTGTCCACCATAGACTGTCAGAAATCTCTTCCTGTGTCAGCACTGTGATGTCAAAGAAGAGCATGAACGCCTTTGACTTCACCGCAGTCCTTCTAAAGTGCTGCAGCACCTTTCTAGGCACAGGAGCAGACTTCCGAAGCATAAATACCTCATCACTTAGGTCAGCCAGATGGCTCAGGCCTGGCGGTTCAGAGGGAAATGTATTTTCTGTTTCAGTAAGTATCTCCCTTCTTCTATGTGGTTGACACTCAACAAATCTTGTTGATAACTTGCTCAGAATAACTGAATACTCAACAACTCGTTTCACTCTGTATAGTCTGCATTTGGATCCCATCTCATCACTCATTAGCTGTGTGATTTTGTAGGCAATTTATTTATCTCTCTCTGCCTCTGTTTCCACACCTGTAAGGGGAGGCAAATAATGGTACCTACCTCAGGGGGTTGTTGTAAGACTTAGGTTAGGTAATACATGTAAAGTGTGGAAACTCTGCACGTGGGAGAGCCTCAGTAACTGTTGGCAGCTGTTCTTTATTACTCTGGGGGACATCTTTCCATCTTCTTAATAGGAGAGCCCCTAGGCTTGTACCCCACTGTTTTGGTTATTCAGGAGGAGTGTGGACTTTGACACTGAGGCATATTTAACTTGGGAGTGGGGTACCTGAAGGCTACGTGCCTGTTGTGTGAACTGGCCGAGCTGCTCACAGATGTGTGGGTCTGTGGGTAATTCACGACAGCCTCATGAATTGTAGGACAGGTGTGCAAGCTTCAGAGGGTCTGGGGAAATTCAACAGATGTGACGTGGTCCGCTGACACGGGCTTTATGGGCTCCTGAACCCAGCTATTCAAAATTATAGTGAGGTAATATAATATTGCTGTTTTGGGGGGTTTTTTAAAGGCAGATTAGTACTAAGCGAACATCCGACGCCAATCCTCCTCTTTTTGTGGAGGAAGATTGGGCCTCGGCTAACATCCGCAGCCACCTTCCTACACTTTATATGGGACGCCGCCACAGCATGGCTTAATAAGCGGCACGTGAGTGCGCACCCGGGATCCGAATCCGAGAACCCCAGGCCGCGGAAGTAGAGCGCGCGCACCTAACCGCTACACCACCGGGCAGGCCCCAATAATTCCTGTTTTTTCAAACCATTATGTTTCGCGTTGGTTCATTACATGGCACAGATAACTGGAACAGGTCATTAATGGGGGATTGAGGTCAGAGGCTGTTGTGAGGGCTGCTGACTGTGTCTCCAAAGCTCATGTGCTTGGGTATTACCAGACTGCCGGAGAGACATGCAGAGATAGAGACAGAGAGGAGTTTTTCTTAATCGGACACTTCCCATTACTTTCAGCTATTTGCAGGGCATTTCCATCTATTCCGAGTGAAAAATCCTATCCTCCATTATTAGAGTTTGCTGCTGTCTCCTTATTGGGACTTGTAAACTGCTTGGTGATGAAATAGAAAATCAGAAAGTGGAGCCCACCCGGCTCACAATTACCTGCACAGGAACATAGGTACAAAGTTAGAGACTTCTCATCCTCTTTTAATCAAGCATTCTTTCATCTTCCCAGACTTGGGGGAAGATTAGACCACCATTGTTAATCTTGTTTTGTGTATCTGTGTAGATTAAAATACTAAGTGCACACAGCATGTTCTATTATCACCTGCTGTTTCTTTGAAGCAGTGTCCAAATGACAA